TTAGACTGGTTCTGTGGCTTTTAATTTAATCTTTGAGATGCTGTCAAGTCTTTACTTCTGCTTCTGGCAACTTGGCTCATGCTTTTGTGTTGAATTATAATCATGGTATATAGTTTTCTCTTTGACATTAAAATGTTTTATTCATTCAAGCATTATGCATTGACATCTTTCTGTATTTCTGGCAGCATGTTGGGTACCAGGGTTAATAGTATAGTTAATCTCAGAAATTTAATAGAGTTAATCTTGAAAGCACTGTTAGTATGAAGAAGAAACAAGCAAGAATGTAATTACTAATCCATGTGTTCAGCTGTCATCATAGAGGTTGGGGTCAAAGTTCTGGATGGTGCAAAATATGGGGATCAGGCTATGAGTTGCTGACCCTTACTAACCAGCATTAATCATGATTCTTTTTTTTTTGATGAGTTGGGAATGCAACTAAGGTCCTGATTTTATTTTTCTTGGTATTCTCTGCAAAGGGCCTGGCATATAGTAGATGGTTATTAAATCCTTGATAACTAAATGAGTGATGCTTTTTTTTATGAGAGAAAATAAATGTTTTTAGAAGAGTCAGCTTTATACCACAGTTTCAGGGAATGAATTGTGATGAAAAGCGAAGATTGCTTTTACTTGAAAGAGGCTGACAAATTTCCCAGACCTGGGATCACTTTATGCAGTGTATGATTTAAGGGTGAGTGAGCATGCCAGAGCGTTCCACTTGAGCTGAGTGATGGGGAATGAGATGTGGAGCTCTGGTCTTAGATGGTATTTTGTGAAAAATAGTTGGAGATTTATGGCTATTAAACAACTTTGTAGCTGCCCCCTTCTTGTTTTGAAGCCTGCCAAATATCTCCTCCTGTGGTCTGTATCATGTTCCTTCCGGGCATCCATGATATTCAGACATATCCACTGGAATGCAGGTTTCTGTGGAATGCACCCAATGGGAGGGGGCTTGAATTGTACACATTCATCTGAAGACATTTGTTTTCTGCAACCACGGAATGAAATTCTCACTTTGCAAGTCTCTTTTACTGTACTTTCGTTGAATCTTTTCCAGTGAGGTTGCCAAAGTTCTACCTTCCTTTCTGCATGATGGAAATTGCAGAGCACAGTATATTAGTGACCATTATCATTATTGATGTGAGTTTAAAAAATTATTAGTAACTCTCCAATTGTGAGTAGGAGACAAGTACAAAAACCTACATATGCCTTGGCCAATCTTAAGTAGAAAGACTTAGCAGGTAGAATGAGCGTTTTAAGCCTTGGCATGAAGTGGGGGATTTATATTTACTGCTATTTATCAGCTTTTTCTGTTCTGTTGTTACATTCAATAGCTTAGGAAGAGTTAGAACTGGGATATTTCACCAAAAAAGCCAACCAGAGATGCCCTTAATTCATGTTGTGCAAGTACTGGAAAACTTAGAGAAAGTGTCCTCTAATTATGTGTTTTCAACATAAGATGTATGGATTAGGTAGAAACAGAAGCCTGTTTTTTCAATTTTCATGTTTAATTTTGAGAAATTAAAAAAACGTATAAAAGTTTGAAAAATAACAAGCATGCTTAGTTACCCTACAGGATTTGTGTTTTCTAATATGTTGTTATTTTTTTTTTCAAGTGTTATGTTTCAATAAAAGAAATAAATCTTATGTGTAAAATTTCAGCTCCCCACTTTCCATTAGCCCCAGTTCTGTTACTCTGCTCTTTGGTAGGGGCAACCATTTTCATGAATTTAATATTTAACTTTTATATTTTTTAGATCTTTCCATATACACATGAGATCAAAGAACTACACATTTACATAAATAGTATTGCACTGCATTTATCATTTTGCGACTTGCATTTTCACTTTGCATTAAATTTTTAGACCTATTCAAATTGAGATCTATAAATCAGCTTTATTGCTCTTAAGTGCTAAATATTATTCTGTCATATGAATATACAACATTTTATTTATCCATTTTCCTCATTGATAGACATTTGAATTATTTCCAATTTGTTCTGTTGTAAATAATGCTGCAATAAACATTGTTTTATGTTCCACCTTACAGACCTGAGTAAAATTTTCCATAGTATATATATTTTAAAGGGAATTGCAGTACCAATTTTCAGTTTTATTAGATATTGCTAAATTACTCTCCTAAGTGATTGAACCAATGTACATTCCCACTGGCAAAAGATGAGAGGTTAAGAGTTTTGTTGCCCTTGGTACTCTATAGCACTCTTTATAATGAGACTTAAAAGTTTTCCAACTATGATGAACAAAAAAATTGTATTTTGTTTTAATCTGAGGTGCCCTTAGGTCTAGTGAATTTGAGCATCTTCTCTTTTATTTATTGGCCACTCAGGTTTTCTCTTCTTTGAAGTGTCTTATATTTTTTTTGTCCATTTCTATTATATTTTTATTTATTTAGAGACATATTCTGAATGCTAATATTTTATTGCAGATGTTACAAAAATCCTCTAATGGGGAGAGTCATAAAGTAAAATGTGAAAGTGTAATTTTTTGCCATGGATGGTTAGAAAATTTGCCAAGTACTTAAAGATTTGAGAATTATTTGTAGTTCTGAGGAGTCTGATTTACCCCAATTTTCCTGATCCCATTTTAGGCATATCTACTTTATCCACATAAAGGAAAACATTATTTAAAAATTTCCACTAATGTTTCTATTATCTCATTCTTGATATATTATGAGTGTATTGCTTCAGTTTCAAGGGGAGTTCTTTATTCAGGGACAGGTAATGTGAAAATTTAAGACACTGTCTTGTCCATTTCTTTCATATGATGATTGTGCTTTTCTGAATCAAGCTTCTAAGCATAATTTTCAACATCACTTTTAAAAAGTTCACATGGACTTCATTTTGCTAAAAGTCAAGTCAAAGAACTAGTATTTAGAATCTTGGTTTGTAGCAGTTTTCCCAAACATCCAGCCACAAAAGTCTCACCAAAAGGTATAGTTTGCAAAATTGTTCTCTTCCTGGATTCTTTTCCATGACTTGAGTTTATAAATGGACACTGAGCAGAAAAGTGATTAAATGCTAAGCATAGAATGATGACTGCAAAACAGAACTAAAGCCACACAATTTTTTCTTTGACTAAAACTGGAAAGAAAATGTAAATCACTATTTTACTCTTGGTTAGAAAACTTGAATGTTTTGCCCAATCAGAGATATTTGCTGAAAGGTAGTTTCTTCTAGTAATTTTAGGAAAAGCTGTCATCAAATTGTCAACAGCCCAAATTGAGATTAAAAGTACCAAGAAACATCACAATATAGCAACCTAAAACTCATCCTGGATTTTCAGGCTTTTTCAGCAATGAGATGGAGCAGAAACATTGACAGGGAGAGAAGCTCTGGCCTCTTGCAGAGGAAGTATAGTAGATCTGTGGAAGGACAGCCCCCGTTGCTCCCCCCCTGCCTCAAGCAGGAGCGGCATATGAAGAGACGCCATACTTAGAACATTATCTTTGTGGCTCATTGATCAAATAGGGAAGCCCTATTGATCAAATAGGGATTGCAGGAGACCTTGAATGCCAAATGGAGAAGCACCTGGTGATTCTAGTGTTTGAATTTTAATCTAATTGCTGATTGTTTTATACGATTACAGCATCTAAAAAAGTCTTTAGGTACTTTTTCAAATGTTTTTCTTAGCAACTGAACTTTGATCTTTCTGGACCCAATACCCTTGGATCAAGCTTTAAACACAGTATATTTCTCTTGCTGCTGGAGTTAAGTAATGCTACCCAAGATCTTTCTCTACCTTAGGGACATAGCTTCTGCTTTTGCACCGTTCAGAACTCTTTCTCTAAGTCTCTACTGAAAGCCGCTTAATCAAACATCTCAAATGTCAGAAACAGGGTTTAAAGGGTTTTTCTAGCAAGTAGGTCTAATCTCCTACTTAGTTTTGATTCCTATAATGTCGATAATCTCTTTGGAGAAAAGGCCTGCTCCTACTAGGGCAAATATATCCCATAGAATGCATTTCCTTTTCCAGAAAGAAAAATGTAGCATTAATGAAATTTACTTTTTCATGAAGCCTGGAAAGGTTGTAAGCTTAGGATTTTGATCCTAGCAGATGTTCTTTTTAGGATATTAAAAAAAAAAAAAGTAGTGTTTGATTCAGAAGTTTCAGTAAGAATTGCAGTGGTGATGCTTCGTGTTCCACACTACCTCACTCTGAATATGACATACCGGTCAGTAAGTGACACCTACTCTCCAGGTGTCGTCTTTCCTCACACCCTAGCTCCCAGGGGTATAGCACTAATTAGAGAAAGAGAGCAGCCTGGGTCACCCCATATCAAGGGGGATAGTTAAAGCACTTTGCATGTAGGAAAAAAACATCTTCACAAATAGATTTCATATCATTTTCTCTCAGCCCTCCAAATGGCAAAGTTTTGTTGATAACCATTGTACTTCAAATTTCAGATGATTTTTTAGCGCTATTGTTAAATGTAGCCACAACCCCAACTGCAAGGTCTTTGATATCACGTGTTCTTCTCTAGGGTCACTTCATGCTTCTTATGTCTTCACCTTTCCCCTGTCTCCATGCCACTGGGCCCAGTACACCAGCCCTGTTTGTCCCATCTACCCTGCAGGCCAAGCTCAGCCTCTTCACTGGTTTCGTAGAAATCTATGTACAGTAAGCGTTTAATCTGTGGGAATTTTGGGTAGAAAGCTTTTGGGGAATAACTGTGATAGAAATCTAAGTCTGCATCATTTCCTGCCCTCAACATCTCTTTTCCTTCTCCTCCTCAAAATTCCACTCAATAAACAAACCATCCCCTTGTCTCAGATCCCTTCCACCAGTACAAGTCCCCTCAAAGCGTTATATTTGACCCTACACTTACCAAAATATTATCTCAACAGAGACAGCTCTTGCTTCCTAAGAAGAGCCTTGGTCCATAACATGTTCTCCAAACCCAGATCCCAAGGAGACAAGTCTGGTAAACGGAAGTGTTTAGTGTTTGGCGTTGCTCATGTTGCTGTGCTTTTTTTTTTCACACAGCCCTCCAGTGACAGAGTTGTTGTCTCTCCTAAGAGCCACTACACACCCCTGCCTTCTGCTTCCAGGGAACTCACCAGTCACCGAGGTAGGAACCCTGCTTTTTATTGCGCTTTGTGGCTGCAGGGAGAGATGCTGGGCTGTGTGGAGCTCGGGGATCATTACAGCTTCCTCGGCACTTTGGATGGAACAAGTGCTTTTCAAGTCCATGATGAGAAACCATACCTGTCAAGCCTAGTAATTTTGACTCATAATAAATAGAATTTAGTGGCAGTCTATTGGAAGGCAAATAGTCTATGGTGGAATATAATTTTGTGATTTTTTTTTTCTTTAAGCAAAGATATTATCACACTTAAAAGTTACAAAGGAGGTCATTACCTCCAGAGAAAGTGGCAGAGAGAAATTGGGAAGCTCACTAATATTTGTAAAAGTGTCATTATTTGGGAGTATTATAGTTGAAATCTGTAATTTCAAAATGAGTGAACTCTACATTACAGCTAAAAGGATAGATCAGTATGCAGTTTTCCTTGAAATCTCTGATCCTTGAAATTTTAATTTGGCTTACCCAGCTCTTCCAAAGCCTTGAATTTCTCTTGTCATCTCTAGAGTCTGCAAGTAATGTGGTTTAAACATGCTTTATCTCCAACCTGGCTGTTTAAACCAAGGACCATGTGATCACTTTTGTTGTAATTGGTTAGGACAGGAAGAGGCCATGTGTTATAATTTGTTTACCCCTTTTTATTCTGGTTATGACCATAGTCATATTTCATAGTTATGAATCTACCTTCCAAGGGTAAGTAAGAACAGGCTTAGGTTGAGGGCGCTACATACTTTTAAACATCGCTTCCCCAAGCAGGAAGTTCCCCTGTACATTCAAGGGACACTGAAGAAGGGCTATTCCGGCTTTGTCCTCCAAGCTGCATTGCAGGATGGGTGGGTAGGAGCCAAGTCTGTAGAGATTATCAGAAAGTGATGGAACTGGCCCTCTAGGGAGGCGTGGGGGCTTTGGGTAAATGGCACACTAGCATTCTTTAGGATCCCAGGTATCTGTGACTTGGACTTGTGTTTTCTGTTTGATGTCTGGATTCAGTGGAGTTGGTTTCATAATTAATTAATTAATATTAATTAAAACATAATTACTATGTGTTGGTTTAATTAGGGTTCAGTTATGATTCCATTCTGGAAATGTTCAATTTGTGAAAATCAATTTTGCTCAAAGTCAAGCAGCATAAATAGCTGCCAATGTCTTTTGAGGGGCATGAACAGATCTCTTCTGAATATTCTTATGAAGATTTGGAATATATCCCTTTAGAGACTGTTTTTCACAGGGGTGGGGGGTGGGGATTCGTCTACACAAATTATTATACCCTGTGTAGAAGGAATAACAAATTAAACCTTGCATCATAGTCTCATGGATTTATTTATTAGTCTCTTGTATTTGAATTGATTGAGTTTGTGTTGATGACATGAATAGGAACTGAAGTCTCAGAGCCCTCAAGCCTGCTTCAGTTCATCTGGCCATGAAATTGAGATTTCACAACAGGAGGACCTGATCAAATAAGTGATAGTCATCAGTAACAGGGCAAAGGTCATCTGTCATTGTAACAGTAATATTAAAAAATCTGAAGCTTGAAAAAAAGAAATACAAAACAATAAGTTTTGAAGATACTTGGGTAATGCTTGGAATACGGAAAAATGCCTAATGTGGTCTGAGTTAAAATAGACACTCTTGAATGACATCAGAGTACAACACCAGTGGAAAAAGTGTTATTTAATGGAAGCCAAGACAGATGTCATGATTTTCCTGAGCAGTTAATACAGATTTAATACATCCATTGCCTAATCATTGCTAAGTACTTGGTTGTTGATAAAGTAAGTTAGCATCATGAAGTGATGGCCAGGTCTTTGGACTTACGGTCCTGAGGAGACCAGAAAGAGAGAACCAAAGATGCCCATTAGGCTGAATTACTGTTGAGCTGACATGTGTAGGGAAAATATGAGACTAATATACTTCAGCTTGGCATGAATCATGCAGTGACAAATGAGGAAAACAATAGTTTTCAGCACCAGAATGAAACCACTTAATGACATCTTGGGTTTTTTTGTATTTAAGTTAAAGAAATTATTCTAAGTTTCTGATTCCTTAGATCACCAAACTCCTTGAGTGTCATTTGTTAATATTTCCATGGAAACGGCCTACAAACATTTATCCAGAGAGGTACTTCCATGTTATAAAGGCAAATTACACCAGTGGTTTCCCAGGTGAAATCCTCCATGATGTCTGAACTCAGTCTGTAAAGTCCTAAGTGGAAATTCTATTTGTAAATAATTTTTGATTCATCTGGTTCCCAATCTCTTTTCATTCCGCACCAGCGACTACACAAACTGGTAGGTAGTAGTTCACGTACAAATTGCTATTTTTCTATACATGCCATTTTCTCTGTGCTTGTCCTTTTATGTAACTTCCAATGTCGAGTTTGATAGACCAGAGATCCATGTCCTAAGAACTGTAGATTCAAATGCAAGAGAAGTCTGAGCTCAGAATAACGATCGGGAGTCAGGGGACTCTATTTTTCCATCTATAACGAATAGATAATCCAAACCTCCTAGAGACAGTGATGCCCAGCGCCTTATGCTTCCTCTGTGAGATTTTTAGTTATTGTACCTTCATGGAATTTCCCCCCTTTTTTATCTCCTTTGTTGTTCAATTGTTAAGTCGTGTCCAACTCTGCGACCCTATGGACTGTAGCATATCAGGCTCCTCTGTCCATGGGGATTTCCAGGCAAGAATACTGGAGTGGGTTGCCATTTCCTTCTCCAGGACCAGAAAGTGAACCTGTGTCTCCTGCATTGGCTGATGGATTCTTCACTGCTGAGCCACCTGGGAAGCCCTTATCTCCTTTGTGTAGTTGCTTATATTCTGCTTTATATAACACCGGTCAGGTCTGTGTATGTCTTGAACTCTTCACAGATGCACAAGCTACTTGAGGGGCTATATAGATTCTAACTCTTTTCTTTCACATCAGTAACTCCTACTCAGGTATAAGCTGAAACACCACAGCTCCAAGAAAAGCTCCTCTGATCCCCCTCTATCCATTTGCATTAAGTCAGTTTTCCCTTTTCAGGGGCTGTTTTCCTGGATGGCAGCTTTCGGTAGAGATCGGGGTGGGGTGGAGGTTGGAGGTACTGGTGTTTGCTTACTTACCGCTATATCTTCAGTGCCTGTCATAGGACCTCCTACTTAATCAGAGATCCATAAATATTTGTTCAGTAAATGATGAGTGATAGAAACCCAGGGGAAAGGCAGTAACTTTGGTACCTCTTGTTGTTATCTAAGTACTTGGTTGCACATAAATTGCAAGGTAACTTGATTGCATCTGAGGAAGGAGATCCATGTGCCTTTGGGGGTGAGCACATACTGAAGGGAGAGGCCAGTTTTATAAATGGCAGGCCTCAACTCTGTTGCTTTCAGAAACCCAAGTCATCTTGGACGGAAGCTCTATCTGTTGGTTCATTGCCAGACAGCATTTAGCCATATTGCATAACTTCCAAGTAGATAATTATTTTGAAGTCTTAGTTTTCAGACTCTGGTGTTTTGATGATGGAAAGGAATAGGATGAATTAAAGCAACTTATGGAATTCTTAGGCTAGTACAGAAGCTCTCAGAGAAGGGACTGGACTCTCAATAAGATGCAGATTGTGTAAAGATAGAGTTTTAGAACAGTCTGCTTAAAATCTCTCTGAGAATTCTCCTCTAGTTCTGAGCATGTCTTCAGAATATGGGGACATGGTGCTGTATCAGTGATGCCAACTGCTACCTAGTGATGGTCTGCATGCTACATCTTCAGTGGGTAGCCACATTTATGAGGAATGTTAAAATGTTTGTTGGAGAAATGTCTCTTTCAATATATCCTGGCCATAGGATGTACCCCCGAAAGTCATATATTGCTACTTTTTATCTAATAGCTATTAGAAGTAGAATTTGCATCTTTATTAACCATTGTGTCTTTTGGGAAAACATTTCTATTTAGAGCAGAGACCATCAGTACACCCAGTAAGGTGGGGAGAGTAAATATTACTGTTCTCATTTAACAGAGGAAGACACCCGCAACAATTACTAGGAAAGACTGAATCACTCAGCAACACAGGAAAGGAAAAAATCCAAAGCCTGTATCCTTGGATCCCAGGCCACCCCAGATGTTTACCCTTTACACAGGATACATGAAGCAGATGCAGGATTCACTGTGGCATTGTGCTGGGGGAAAGAGGAGAGAACATACAGGAAAAGGCCCAGCCTGGAGCTGTCCACTGTCAAGGGTGCATTTCCAAAGACTGTGACAAAGTATGGCATCCTTGCCTGTTCTGTCAAAAGAACTGCCTGTTACGCCTTTCTGACACCCTTTTATAAAAAAATTACAAATCTATACATGCAGAAGCAGAGACAGTTTGAAAAGCCAAAGAGGAAAATGCTCTGGTACCAGTCTGAATTCAGACGGAAAATTTAATGCACACTATTCAAATTATGAAAGGCTTTAATGTAAGGAATGAGAGGCTTACACATGCAGGAAAGGACCGACAGGGAAGGTGTCACCCCAAGTCTCAGCTCTGAGACCTGTGATTCTTAAGAGCTTGATGACCATTTCTGTGCCTCTCAGAAATCCTTGGGCATCTCCTACTAACTTTCTCAGCCTGCAGCACTCGATTCTTCAAACTTTATGGACTACCCACATGTTGCCCTGCCCCTTCTTTCTGGATTTCCAAATCATACTGTCTCTCTCTTTGGCCCACTTTAACCAAGAACCATGCACAGAGGGGATTTTGGGAAATGTAGTTTCTAGTTCTGATCCACAGAGAAGACCTCAGGAGTGGATAGTGGCAGTGCCCAATTAAAACAGACAAATTGGCACATCTACTGTAATCCTACCTTGCCAACAGCTCTCAGGTTGAGAGTCTCATTCCAGTTGTTTGCACACACCCATTTTGCAAAATAATTGCAAAACCAGTGAACATCCCTGAATTATTACTCCCCCACCTCCCAGTCTGGAAGATGTACCATAGTTAGCTTGTCATATTATGCACTGGACTTTA